GAGAAGCTGTACGCACTGAGGCTGGAGACCAAGCAACTGAAAGCAGAGCTGGGGGACAGGATGGAGACATTTCAGGGAGAGGTTGGTCTCTCAGAATATGTGTTTGTTTTTTTTTTTAGTTAGATAACGTTTTGCTTTGACACAACACAGTTTTAAACCGTTGAAATTGTGGGCGTACATAGAACATTTATTTATTTCATATTTTGGGTTTAAAGTAGAATCCTTTTTTTTTTTTTTTTTCCTTGTGACAAATGCAGAATACTTAGGTTTATTTTTAATGATAAATTTAATTAATTAATTTTTCGCTTGTGGTCTAGACAATAGCAGCCTTTTCTGTAAAATCAACAGGCTTTTTTTTTTTTTTAACTATTTAGTTTTTAAATTTAAAGGGACAAAATATTTTCATTATGTCCACCAAAGGGGAATTTCCACCATGTTGTCTTCTAAGGAGATGATTTTTTTTTGTATTGATATAATTAATAACAATACAAATATTTATTAATTAGCAGTCATAGTTACGTACAATATTTAAAGATTTGAAAACACTTGTACATTGTCCATTTGTACAGTTTGAAAGAAGACAATATTTCAGACTATATTTGATGTCAAGCCGTACAATCACAGCCACTGTTTTGTTTTAGACCTCCAAAATAAAGGATCTCCTCAAGGCTCTGCACGAGGAACTGCAAGCGCAGAAACGGAGGAATGTTGACCTGCAGAGAGTGAGCAAAGACATGGAGAACTCTCTAGATCAACAGGTCTGTCACTATGTCCGTTGCTAAAAACTGTGTATTGATGGACTGGACGGTTTGATGCAGACAGCATTTTTAAACTTCTCTCTACGCAGATAAGGATGTTAACGTGTAAAGTTGAGAGCATCGTGACGGAGAAGGACGCTTTGCTTTCTAAGGAGAAGGAAGATCTGCGGTCCATCACGGTGGAGAGGGATTCACTGCAGGAGAAAGTGCACACATTAAGAGAGGAGAAGCAGCAGCTGGTGGTAGAGCTGGAGGACAAAATGGAGACCCTGCACAGAGAGGTTTGTAAATGTACAAGAATCATTACAGGGACAATTTGAGCAATCACCATGACGACAGAAATGACTTGTTCCAGAGTAGTTTCTCACATTAGCTTGCGTTTTAGACCTTTGCAAATTAGCTAGTATTGTAGTCTACACTCCTTATATTGTTTTTTTTATTATTTAAATTTCTCCACTCCCCTGTCAACTCCCCCATCCTAACTAAGTTCATTTCAATAATTTTTAGACATAAATTAAAAATATCCTTGTCTTAAAAGTAACTGAAATCTGAATCTCTAGCTCGTTCCACCTAATACATTTGCTACTGATTGTTCACAGCAGTTGTATGTGCTTTATGTCTTAAGTCTTTGTTGAGAAACCCCTTACACCGCCCTGTTCCCGCAGGTGGAGACCGTGAAAGAGAAACTGCGACTCGCGGAAACGGAGAAGAACGATTTACTTTCGAAACAGGAAGCCAGTCGGACAGCGTCAGCAGACAACGAGACGTTGCGGTGTAAAGTGACGGCTCTCACTGGGGAGAGGGATCAACTGCAGCTCACACTGGATGCACTGAGACAGGAGCACCAGCGTCTCTCAGCGGAACTGATGGAGAAGATTGATGCCGTATGTAAACGTGCAAATGATCCTTCAGTCATTTCGAGCCGTAAAGCTGTAAAAGTCTGCACCGCACTTATAATAGTAAATTGTATGAACATCGTATGTTTGTGTTGATAGAACCCCACATTCTAAAAAGTTGATGACAAAAACAAACATGTAGAAAAGGGAAACACAACATCAATTCTAAACTTAGTCAAGTAAGGACTAGAAATTTCATCAACAGTCTGTATACACATTGAAATGGACTGTGTTGCCACACAACGGCTTAAATTAATGATTCGTATCCATTTACAAATTGGCTTTTTATTTTCTATTAGGCCTTGGGCCGGCATTTTCCTTCATGTAAAAACGTGTGAGAATATGTATCAGGAGCCACGAGCTGTTAGCTTTATTCACTTTTCCACGTTTTTTTTTTTTTTTTAAAGATTCAGAGTGCAATGGAAGAGCTCAATGCCGTGAGGAAAGAGAGAGACCAACTGCTGTCGGAGAAAGCAAGCGAAAGCCTGATGATCTCCTCCCAATCGGAAGACCTGCAGACGCTCTGGCACTGCAGGAGAGGCTGAACGCACTGAGGCTGGACACCAAGCAACTGAAAGCAGAGCTGGGGGACAGGATGGAGACATTTCAGGAAGAGGTTGGTCTCCCTGTTTTTTTTTTTTTTTTTTTTGTTTTTTTTAAAAAAGTACTTCTGAGAAGTCTTTAACGTGTTTCAAACTGTTTCTGAAGAAAACTCTGCTATGCTAGGTTTGATGATCACTCCTACAACATTTTTTTCATGTGATCAACGCAGATTTTTTTTTTTTTTCGTTTTTTTTTAAAATAATAATAAATAAAAAAGTAGCAGGAAAATTCCATTGATTTTAATTTTCTGTTGTGGTATAAACCAGAGGTGGACATAATCTTTGACCTTCGGGCCACAATTGTCCTAAAATGGACGAGGGCGGCCGGGTCAGGAGCTGATAGATGGAGCGTTCGTGTGAACTAAGATAAATTACATGTAAAAGTCATGCATAAAGGCTAAAAATGCTTTTATCAATTTCTACGCCACCTATTGGGGAAACATGGGTATTGCAGGGAAAAGGTAGAAGTATAATGATAATATAAATAAATTATACAATTCAAAAAAGTTTGGCGGGTCGGATTAAAAAGCTGAACTGGCCACATCTGGCCCCTGGGCCTTAGTTTGCCCATGCCTGGTATAGAAAATAGCAGCTTTTTTCTATCAAAAGGACAGGTATATTTTTCCTGTTTAAATTTTAAACTATATCTTGAGTTCAAAAGAAAAAGGGCAAAAATATTTTCATTATGTCCACTAGGGGGCATTTTCACCAGTCTGTCTTTTTAGGAGATTCATTTTTTTCAGTGATATAACAATTGATATAATTAATAACTTTAAAAATTACATTTGCCGTACAATCACAGCCACTGTTTTGTTTTAGACCTCCAAAATACAAGATCTCCTCAAAGCTGTACACGAGGAACTGCAAGCACAGAAACGGAGGAATGTTGACCTGCAGAGAGTGAGCAAAGACATGGAGAACTCTCTAGATCAACAGGTCTGTCACTATGTCCGTTGCTAAAAACTGTGTATTGATGGACTGGACGGTTTGATGCAGACAGCATTTTTAAACTTCTCTCTACGCAGATAAGGATGTTAACGTGTAAAGTTGAGAGCATCGTGACGGAGAAGGACGCTTTGCTTTCTAAGGAGAAGGAAGATCTGCGGTCCATCACGGTGGAGAGGGATTCACTGCAGGAGAAAGTGCACACATTAAGAGAGGAGAAGCAGCAGCTGGTGGTAGAGCTGGAGGACAAAATAGAGACCCTGCACAGAGAGGTTTGTAAATGTACAAGAATCATTACAGGGACAATTTGAGCAATCACCATGACGACAGAAATGACTTGTTCCAGAGTAGTTTCTCACGTTAGCTTGCGTTTTAGACCTTTGCAAATTAGCTAGTATTGTAGTCTACACTCCTTATATTGTTTTTTTTTATTTAAATTTCTCCACTCCCCTGTCAACTCCCCCTATCCTAACTAAGTTTTTTATTTTTAGATATAAATTAAAGATATCCTTGTCTTAAAAGTAACCGAAATATGAATCTCTAGCTCGTTCTACCTAATACATTAGCTATTGTCTTAAGTCTTGGTTGAGAAACCCCTTACACCGCCCTGTTCCCGCAGGTGGAGACCGTGAATGAGAAACTGCGACTCGCGGAAACGGAGAAGAACGATTTACTTTCTAAACAGGAAGCCAGTCGGACAGCGTCAGCAGACAACGAGACGTTGCGGTGTAAAGTGACGGCTCTCACTGGGGAGAGGGATCAACTGCAGCTCACACTGGATGCACTGAGACAGGAGCACCAGCGTCTCTCAGCGGAACTGATGGAGAAGATTGATGCCGTATGTATCACAGTACATACTACCGTAATAATGTAATCGCATTGGTGCAGTGATTCTAACGAGATTCCTAACTCCACACAAGGCTAGGACGCAGAAGTTTATCAATATCATTTTTATTATTTCCCAAATATAATTCCATCCATCCTTCCATTCGCAGATTTCAGCGATTGAGGAAAACCGGCAGCAGCGGACTGAAGGTGGCCAAGAGCTCGTCCTGCAACAGGAGGTAGGTCTGCTAAGAAGAAAACTAAATGTTAGTGTTTTACTAAAACACTAACATTTACATTGAACATAAAGATCTTGCATAGTGAGAATGAGAATGAAGTTAATTCTAAGCTTTCTAATAATATTGATGAAAGTGTGTATGAAGTAAAAAGTATTTTTCCAAGCACTGAACCTTGGGGAACATAATATCGGACAACCGATAATATCGGCCAATATTAGCATAATTATGTAATATCTGTAAGAATTTTCCTCCGATATTGAAACCCGATTACGCAATGCCTGGGTTTCCAGCAACAGCTAAATAAATATTACCAGGAGAGGGGGTGAAAAAACTTATGTCCACTAGGGGGGGCATGGCTTTAACCCATCACCTTAGTGAGCAGGCAGCATTTAACATCCTTAACCACAACGCCACCGCTGCCCCGCTAAATTGGTATCGGTTAACATCGGAATCGGAAATTTAGCGATTGGACAATATCGGATGACGGCAAAAAGTGAATATCGGACATTCCTACTTGAAACTAGCGTCGTTTCTGTCCGGACATTTTCACGCAGAAAAAATAAGATATCGTCTATTACTTCACATGCGCTTAGAAGTTAGAAGTATATTTTATATTTTTTCGGGTACTCATTTAAGTACCTTAAAGAACACGACATCTCTTGATAGACATGTTGGGTTTTTTTTTTCAGTTGCCTCTCAAAGCAAGCAATACAGGCTTAGCCCACCGGGAGCAGCCAAGGCTGGATGACATCATCACTACAGTCAGACAGACGGGCTCTTCGTTGCTGCACAACTCGACTGAGCAGCTCCAGGTAACAATAGGATCATTAATAATAACGGTATGAAAATGATCTTTATGAAATTTAACTCGACCGGCGAACTCTT